GGAAATGCAGCTACGGTCCCTTGGTGCATTTTGGGGTTGACATGAAAAGCAATGGCTTGGTCTTTCACGGGAGAGCTGCCAGGCGGCTTTTGTCTTGTCTCCTGGACTCTCTCCTGAGAGGCAGTCTTGTCAGCCTCAAATCAAATCAATCCAGGTTGTGGAGAACGCGAGCATGCCTTTGCCCTCTTGGCGTTCATGTGGGTCTGCTGTGAAAACCCTTCCGTACACTTGCAGATCGAGGAGGTGGACTATTTGAAAGTGGGTTTTTCTCTCTATTTCTTATTCTAATGGCTTAGGTTCTTGGAACACTCTCTTGCTTGCCAATGTAGAAAAAATAAAGAAGAGGGACATAGATGGCTGTGAGAATATGAAGCCAGCAGAACACTGCTTTGGAGTTTGCCAGACATAGGTGGGCATATCTAGCTCAGAGGGTGCATTTAAGGGTTAATTAGTTACGTTTGCAGAGTGCTTGGAAAGGAAGGTGTGCATGGGACATGCAGCCCGATCAATCAAATATACACTTCATAAACATTTTAACCACCTAGCCCTAATATTTTCCCCCACCAACAAACTGCTAGTTTATTTGCGTAGTATTTATTTGCATCTATCAGGCTTAATAAAATCTTTCTTTTATTGTTTTAGTATCAATATTTTATCAAGTCATTCTTTTTTCAACAAGTACAAATTGTATTTGCACTGGAACATTTCTACAGCTTAATATCTTTAAAAATCAAAATAGCAAAAAAAAAAAAGAGTTATATAGTGCCAATTTATCAAAAGAAAATAAAATTCAGATGACTTTCATTCCATTTTGAAGTAAGGTGTGAAATATCAGGGATTGGTTTATGTTTTATACATGTTGACTTTAGATTAAAATGAAATTTTCATACCGCTCTTTAAAATACAATCTAATTAAATTTCCAATGTCTTTGTTTTCAAGTTCCTGGATGGAACTTTTGAAAAACCTCACAATGTAGTAATAACCATAAAACCACCTTCTTAAGGAAATGCTACCCAACTTGGAAATAATATCTTTATAGTCTGTGTGGAAATACATGAATACAGAATCTTTAGCAGGCGATTATACTGATTGAGTTTGCGGTTTCTCTCCCATTGTGCCAGTAATGAGGATGCATTTTGAATGGCTAAGCAGGTAGTATGAAGCAGGCACAAATCTACTATTTTAGAAAGCTGAGCCCTAAAAGTTTGAGGGTTTTACCCATGCCATGTGGCTGATGGCAGGTTAAAATCCCCAGGTCTTCTTCCCCCAAAACTCTACATCCTTGTTGGATTCTTTTATTCATGGGTAGTTCTTAGTCTTCTGCTAAGATTGGGGCCAGTTTCTCAGGGACAGCCAAGACATTTCACTTAGACAAGGCTAAGTCCATAGTAACTCACTTGTATATAAAAAGTATTATATGCCACATAATTATGCTAAGAACTTTTATACACATTATCTCTCTTACCCTTCACAAGGACTCTCTAAGATGGATTCTGTTAATGCACCCATTTTGCACATGAGAAGCTGGAAAGGTAACTTGTTCGGGGTCACACATGTGAGAAAGAGGTCAAACCAGAATCTGAAGCTAAGTCTAATTTGAAAGCCCATGCATTGAGCTACCTCACTATACTGCCTGCCTCTCCACACAAACAAGAAAGAGCCATACAGGACAACAAACCCACATTATTTAAAAACAAGTACACTTCCATGTCTCTTTTTAAAGCATAGTTCCATGCAAACCATGGCAACATGAAGTGTGTCTGAAATACGAGTTTAACTTTTGTGAATGCAAACCATGAGAACTTGGTACTTTAATGACATAGGCTGATCAAGTTGTTTTGCACAGGTACACACATCCTTTCTGCAAATGAAATATCTACCGAAGTGTAAAACACTTACGTAAATTGCTTTTGCACAAGTATGAGCTACCGTTTGTTAAATCCTGTTAAGAAATTGTTGCCAACAATAGCTAGCACAGGAGACCCCAAATAGTTCTTGGTTGGATCAGAGATGAGATGTTCTTGTGGCTGACAGGATATTTATTCCCAGAGGTAACTGTTACAAAGTGCATTTTGCCCCTTCAGTTGCTATAAGCTTGTGATGGAGAGTGGGCAGAGAGGGCCACCTGTAATTCAGGAGGGCTGGGAAGCTGGTTGCCCAGGGGACTGGGATGAGCAGCATAATTTCCACCCTAACCAACTGTCAACAAGATGGGGGAGTGCTTTTTTTGATCTGCGTTGCTTTCCACATCAAATTTTGCGACTCCCGTGGAGTCTGATCAGCACCATGGGCCCTTGGCTGGCAGTGAATGCCAAAGGTGGCCAAAGGTAAGTCAAGGATTATGGGAAATTTTTCATAAACATAGTGTTGACAATACGCTGAGGGGCAGTGGATTATGGTATAGGTAAAATGAGTTTGTAAGAGGATAAGGTGATCGTAAATGAATATTTTACATAATGTAGCATGCAGGCAATTTCTGATCATAACTGATCTACATTTAAGTTTATTGCAGCAAAACTTACTTTTTTTCCACATAAACATTTATTTGCCATCGTCCCTTACTCTCTACTCTTCTGCTACTTACATCAGAAGCTTTGGTTTATAGCAAAGTATTATAGTGATCTTCAACGGTAGCACTTGGAAATTCACAAATCTTTGATGAAAATGGTACTTAATTTCCCAATACTTTTAAAATATGCACATCTATTTTTCTTTTTAAATGTATAATACATGTACACATACACATTTATAGGTGTATAGATATGTGTGCATATGTTTTTAAGTCCAATCACATGAAATTGCTTGTTGTAGGCCACACCGGGCCTATAAAAATGGCAATTTTATATGGTTCAACTTACAAATAAATAAGAATGATGACAAAAATACATTTTTGGGTGCAGTAGTTTCTTGTCTTTTTACCCTCTTTTTCCATTTCCTCCTTACCCTCTGCCATGTCACTTATGCAACCCTCCTCAGACATGCCCCCTCTACACTCACCTCCACAGGCACCACGTTAACAACATGGTCTGCACCTCCACAGTCTTAGAATCACAAACACACACAAATATTTTTGTGCATCCATATACATGCTAGGGATGAAACTCTTTGTATGAAATCTCAAACTTCCAGACTATTTGTTTCCTGTTGATATTTACAGCCAAACATTCTCTTTCCTACATTTGAATAATGCTTATCTTCTCTTCTTTGCACTTATTCTTAATGGATTTCAACCCAATTTTCAGTCGTTTCCTCACTCTCTGCCATTCTTTCCCTTGAATTTTATTTTTCTTTTATGTGCTAGAAATTACTCACAAATGATTCAAGCTGTAACATGTGACCACTTGTTACATGGATGGATTAGGAATTCTTTTCCGGTTTCCCACTTTTGTCTCTCCAGAATAAGGTGTTATGTTGCAAAGTTAAGTACATGAGGAGGAATTTGTTTTTTATCCTACTAACAAAGACCCGGCATTTCTCTTGCAAGGAAAGCGACCTCCCCGAGCCATTTCTCTGGTTTCTGTGTGTCAGCGCCAAGTTAATAATCATTCAGGCAATGGGCTCATACGAAGAGACCACAGAATTAATACTCTAGCATTTGAAACCTTACACAGGAGGTAGAGCTTCCACCGACAGATGTGATGGGAGACCTGCATTCTCACTCTTGGCCGAAGATGACTTCTCCCTCTCCCTTGCCACCTGCTGCGGTTGCCACTGAATCCCATTCTCCTTCTGGGGATAATATTTATTTTACATTTAGTTTATCAGGTGGTTGCGGTCTCTGCTCATCAAGATGGACAGACTGTCAGGATGCGGGGCCACTGGGCTATTCCTCTGAGTTTTCTCACTAAGATGTAAGTGCTGACAGAGGGAGAAGGGGCCAAGGGCTCAGGGGTCGGTTTATGTTCTTTCCCACTCAGCACTGCCCACCCCTGTGAGCATCTGTCCAAGCCTTGGACCCGTGTTTTGCTCTCCTCTGCCCCCCACTCCACCCACTGGCAAAATGCCTGCCCTTTGGCCAGGCTGTTCCCCTTCGGCTATCATATCTTTCCTTATTTGGAAAAGGAAGTTCTTTGTAATCAAATCAAAAGTAAATTCCTAGGAGGCTGCGGTTGAAGATCTCAAGATCAGTTTAGCAAACTCCATTCCAACTCCATTCTTAAAAATTGCGATTTGTTTGCTTGATAGCGTTTCCTTGGGTGAGCCTTTTATCCTGAGGGACGTGCCCAGGTTAGGGGGACTCAGATCATCCTAGGGCGTGCATGGCTGAGGGTTTTTATTTATTTAGAAGCTGAGTCTGCCCTCCTTCTGCCTGTTAAAGTGGTTTCAAAGCTGCCACACCAGGAACTGTTTTAGACTACAGACTTCAGTAACTAATGACCCATGTCCTCTGTTCAGCAGTGAAATCCCAAAATGGTCCTAAGAGAAGGGAAGTAAATCCTGACAGCTGCTTAGAGGTCATCTTAGAACTAAATGTCAGAGAAATGTTTTGGGGAAGAGAGGGAGGGTGGCGGGGAGACACCCCCCAAAAGGAAAGGGAAATATAATTAAAAAATGAGATTATTGTACAGAAGGGTAGCTGTTTGCTGATCGCCCAGGTATGTTCTAAAGATCAAACCTCTACATCAGCAATTCGCAGGAGGAAACCCTGAGCTCCTCTGCCTCTGAGAAAGCACAACGGAATCAGCTAGACTGGGACGTGCACACACACACTTCATAGGGTCCTACCTGCAAGTCTCTCTAGGAAAGGAGTTTCTGTGGGTGAGAGGAGGAGACCAGGTGATATTCCAAGGAGGCTGTAATTTTCACGCATCTACCAAGACTGATGTAGGAGGCTTGGTATATTAAGTCCCGGAAACCTCTTTTTTTTTTCCCCTTTGGAAGTGTGTGAATAATTGTAATGCTGCTTTGCTTTCAAAACTGGACAGTGACGTAAACAGCAGCAGCGGCCACAATAACAAGAACACCTCCAGCAGCAGCGACAGCCCTCAGCCTTGCCACCATGGAGTTCCTTGAAAGAACTTATCTTGTGAATGACAAAGCCACCAAGATGTACGCCTTCACATTAGACAGGTAACAGATGTCTGTTTCTGCCTCACGATGTTCTGTCTTCCATACTCAATAAATCCCCAGGTCCCACAGCTTCAAAATGGGAAACTTTTCCAGTGCAACTTTGGGCATTTTGTAAAATTTTATAAACTGTTGGCTGCCTTGTATAATTCATATCCTGAAGCATGCAGTACTCTATGTGGTTTATTTGATTCATAAATATCCTAAGAGCAGGAAGGACACACTTTACGAATGTATTTTCATCTGTAGATTTCCTTCCAGCAAATAGACACAATCTAATGTGTTTACCCTTCTTTTTGTCAATTATTCCTACTTTTAAAATGATAGCAAATTTTATTAAATTATATTTGAAAGAATTAAGGCCTTTCAACTATGCGACATTGTGGTTACATTGATTTTAAAATTATTTGCTGTTTTCTTAATCATATACTACCATTATCAAATAGACACACCTGTACTAAAAAGAGCCGAGTTTAATGTTCTACATAGTTCTGAATCCTTTGAATATCTTCCATGGAGCCATGGGCAATATATTCCACCATTTTCTCTTATTTAAAAATTATCAATTGAACACAATGGGTATATAATGAAGAAAAGATTCCTAGTCCCAGATCTCTATTCTAGAAACTTTGAGTCTCATGTGAAATACGTATGAGGAGAAGTCAGTGACAAAAGTGGCCTGTGTGTCATTCTGGGGGCATTCAACGCAAGTATCTCAAGGAAACCGAGGTGTCAGTGGGGCTTTGGCAGTCAGAGAAAGCTTCCCAGAAGCAATAGATGGAGAACTGGAAAATAAAGGAGAATTAGAGTAAGGTTAGAGAAACCTTACACAGGAAACAGGGTTAAGAAAAGCTTTTCAAATGGGGGTATCGTCTGGTAAAGACAGACCTGTAAGAAGGAGAGTTCTGTGTGTTTGGGGAATTCAGTCCAAGTGGGGAGCAAAGAGAAACATAACACAAACAGATGAAGGAATGAAATACTGAAATAAGTTCATGTTAGGAGCAGAATTTAAGAAGATAATTACCCACTAATAATATGTGAAAGGTTGGTTGTTTCATGGAACCAAATTAATGTTCCAAAGAGTAGCAACATTGTATTGGATAGGATCAAATGTCTGAACAACTGCAAAGAAAAACTTTCTCTTACGATATTTATAACTTTGCTTTGAAAATATATGACAAAGAATTGAGCACATTTATTATCTCACCTTATAAGAAATATTTTTCTTAGAAATCAATACTACATGTGACTTACTACGATCATAAACCATAAAGCCTCACGTTAGGTCAGGCAGAATTTTTGTACAACAAATTGTTAATGCTATGGACACTCCTAACAGAGCATCTCTACATTGTTGAAATAACAGCATTTCCCTTCTCATTGAAGTAGACCACTGGCATTCCGCTATGCACATAAAACCAATTATTTATAGTTATAGGGTCTCATTTGCCTCATAAATGGGTTTAGTTTGCAGGTCACAGCGATGATCATAACTGTCAAACTTGTTTTTATATTCTTTCCTAATTAAAACAATTAAACCTGGGAGAGATTATTTATCCTGATCTCTCATTTTACCAGTTAGAAGCCTGTTTCTCCCTTTTTTTTCTCTTTGATTCTGTAGTAAATTTCTTTGCTCTGGTCTATTGTTCCTGCTCTTCGGAGTCTCAGATTTATTAGAATACTTGGGAATCTATGGTGATACATTCATTGGCAGAAAATTTACATTTAATTTTTGATGCATCATAGCAATTGTTTTCTAGAAACTTTTAAAAAATTCTTCTTGGAATTCATGTTACCCTTCAGCTCAAGAGCCTGTATTGCATCTAGGGGCACCTAGACTACTTTACTCCAGAAAGATAATTGAGAATGTATTTTAACTTGGATTTTAAACTTCTTTTGGAATCATAGATTCTTGGGAGCCCTGTGAAGCCTGTGGACTCTTACATGTCCCCATAAAACACACACAGACACACATATGAACACTCTGCATCCAATGACATTGGATCATGTGAAACCAACTTTTGGACATCTGTCTTTGTACTTCAAGCTCAATCGCAGCTCAGAGTATAGCAATATTTGTTGATCTGAAGTCTACAGGGAAGCAGTATTTCAAACTCAGAACTGGCCAGGGTTCTTGCATTTTCCCCCTTGTGGCACTGTCCACAGGCTGTGCCCTGGTGGAATTCCGCCGTGGCCTGCCTTCTAAACTGCTCCAGGATGGCTTCTCTCTTGGCCACTTACCACCTGGTTTCCTCTGGCCACAAGATTCATGAAAAATATAAAATCAAGTAAAGCCTCCATGACCACAGTAAACCAGTGGTTACACAAACAGTGGCAGAACGATCGGTGACCCTGTCTTCCTCATGCTGCCTTCTCCGTGCAAGGAAAGGGGCATCTCTTTTATGCTTTCCTCTTGGTTCTCAGGTTCCCCTGGGTCGGGGAACATTGGCAGCCTGCACTACTACCTCATATGGTAATTTATTATCAGGGTATGTATCACATTACAAAAGTAAAAATGTATGGATACAAATTCTTTATGTGCCTCTTGCCAAATGATTCTTATTCCAATATGAAGATTATTTGGAACTGTTCAAACCCCTATTAACATCAGTTGGTACAAACACTCTGAAGTCAATTTGGCAACATGCATCAAAATCCTTAAAAATATAGATACTCTTTGACCAAATAATTTCCCTTCTAGGATTATATTTTAAGGAGATAAGAATCTATCAAGCAAAGATTAACTATCAGAATATGAAACACAGTGGTACTTATCTCAGCAAATAATTAGAAAAAAATGAGTTCTCTAATAATAGGAAATCAGTTAAGTATGTTGTGACATATTTATATTAAATATAATGATCTCTGCATGTTAAAATAATGATGTAGAATATTTAATAAACTGAAACAATTTTAACAATATACACAGCTAAGAGTCAGGTTCCAAAGCTGTATCTTTGGTAGGATCCTACGGTAACACTGTTGTTTCATCCACCATCCATTCCGGCCCATCCCCATTGAGTTACAACCACATGATGTAGGCAGCATTTGCCCCATTCTCAGCTCTAGGACTCAGCATGTCTGGGTTTAGCCAATCTTCTGACTGGAACAAGGTCTGTTATTCCTCTGGCTATAGGGTTGATTCCCATTTGACCAAATCAGCATGCAACTCAGGTCTTAGAGGTTGGAAATGGGAACACTCTCGCTCCCTGTATAAGGAACAGCAAGTATGTAGCCCTGACTACCTTGGGCAAACATCTACCACCTTGAGGAAAACCAGCCTGAGATTGAAGCACAGTCAGAACTGTGAAGCAATGGACTTGGAGTCCTGGTAAATCAGCCTGAAGCCTGATACCTCCAGACATTTTCAGTTGCAGAACCAATAATCCCCATTTATTAATCAACCTAGCAGAAGCTTTGTTTTCTGTACTTACAGTGAAAAACATCCTAATTAACATGTCTCTAATTATGTATAAAAAAAAATGTGTCTGTATAGTACAAAGTTAAGTAACAACATGTCTCTTCCAGGTAACCTTACTAGTGATTTTTCCCTCTGCTTTGTGCTTTTCTGTAATTTCAGATTTTCTATAATGAATATATTATTTCATTAAAAAAACAAATATAATTAGAGTCATAATCAAAGTTATCCTCCAAGCTGAAGCCTACAGTCCTTTAATTCCAGATGGTGACAAGACAAATGAAATAGCTCTTCAACTGGAGGCTTATTTATTTCTGTTTTTACACATTTCAAAGCCATGAATACAAAGTTCTTAATTCTAAGGGTCTTATTAATGCCTTTGAAGTTTATTTGAAAAATATAAATCTGATTAGCTCAAGATCAGCATCAACATTTGCATCAGTAAGGAACAGTTTTAGATGTGCTGTGTTCAGGTAGGGAGCTCAGTGGGCTGCCCTTGGGAGCCCAGCTCGGCCACTGCCTGGCTGTTGACCTCAGGCAGTTACTTGACTTCTCTGCAACTTAATTACTTCAACTACAAAACCATAGGGTTGGACTAAACGTTATCTACAAGCTTTCTATCTGTGAAACTATAATTCTACAACGGCTCTAAATAACGATTTCCATTTGAGCAGGACTGATACGTACTTCTTGCTATAGGAAGTATAAGTAAGTTTCAACGTCGTGATAACTTTCATGGATTGGGAGAGACTGTATGCAAGGCTGTGTTAAGAAGGTTTCTGAGGGTCCATGTGGCCTTAGCAGGAAAAGGTGCTACCGTCTATAAACAATGTTGTCGTCAAGAAGAAAGGGACAGCGGTGGCATGCAATGGTGGGTATCTGAGTCATCAGGTTGGCTCATACACACATATCCAACATTGTTCCCATTCCCTTTCTTAACTTGTAGGACAGTGTCCAATATCTTTCCAAAATGAAGTAAGAAGGAAATGCATCGCAGTGTATCTGCCTCTTTCTCCTGTTGCTTTGCTATCTCTGAATTACAGGTGGTAGAGACTGAATAGAGTTTGACTGAATAAAAGCAAAACTTACAGTAGTTGAGACTTCAGATGAAAAATTCCTTGCTTGTTCCTTACACTTGCTATTTCTTGTGGAAGGAGCTGTGAATTACAGCTTCCTAGTTGGGTAGCAAAGGTCCTGAGAGTGGCTTGAGAGAATGGGTAGGGCTGTCAGCGATGTTCGCAACCATGTTCACTTTTTGCTTCTGTCACACTCAACCACAGTGCAGATCTCCAGCAGAAACCTGCGAATAAAGATCAATGTGCTGGGGAGAAGCCACAGGAGCTGGAGTCTGGAGATACCTATAACTGTCATGGCAACGCCAAGGCCCCAGAGAACAGGGCAAAGGAGCAGGTCTACGCCAGGTGGAAACTCTGTGCTGCTTCGGGAATATGCTTTGTCTTCATGATTGCTGAGGCCGTGGGTGAGTATTCCCCTGGAAGTCTTCTCTAACTAAACGAGCCAACAAAACCCTACATCCATACAGGAGCGTTAGCTAGGCTGTCTTTCTAAAGTAAGAGCTAATATTTTCTGTAAGTATGAAGTGATGTTGTGCTCATGGTAGATAAGTTGAAAAATAGAAGGAAACAAAATTTATCACTGTCCCACATTTGAGTGATAACCTCCAAAAACATTATGAAGTATTTCTGTACAATGTATTTTCTATTCATAGCGCAGTGTTTTTCAACATAACAGAGAGCATACTCAATGCTTCTGACCATGCTATCAAATATTCTTTAGAAACATTTTTATGCTTGAACAATATACACTCCACTGTGATTTATATAACCATCTTTCTATTGTTAGACATTTAGGGATTTTTTTTTCCTGCTTGGGTACAACGCTGCAATAAAAAAATCTTGAATAAAACTCTGCCTGCCTTTTTGTTAATCCCTTCAAAAAGAGTCCTAAAAGTGGAAATAATTGGTTGAAGGACACAAATATTTTTTATTACTTCTTGATGAATATTGCCAAACTGCCATCCAGAAAGCTTAAAACAATTCATATGTCTTCCACGTGTACATGGGAATGATTTCTCTTCAATCTTCACTAGAACTTATTCTAATCTTTAAAAAATTTTTGTTAATGTATAGATGAATATGCTTTACTTTAACATTTTCTACTGCTAGAATATTTTTTTGCATGCTTATTAGTGATCTGTATTTCTCTGTAAATGCATTAACTGCTTGCCTCTTGGTGTCTGTTTTTTAGATAATTTGTAATTCTCTTTATTGATCTCTGGGAGCTCTTTATATATTAGAATATTAACTTTTGATATATTTGTTAAAACTACTTTTCCAGTTTGTTGTTTACTTTTTAATTTTTGTTTAATTTTTGCTCTTAGTTTTCAATTTTATATACATCATTGTATCAAACATTTTGTTTTTAGCTGATTATTTTTACTACTCTTTCACTACTGTAGTGCTTATAAGCCTTCATAAGCTACTGAAAAGATAAATATTTTGTTGTTCAGGTTTTTACAGTTCTAAGATGAAATTAGATATGTTCTAAGGATTGAAAATTCTTTTCTAAATAGCTAAAGTTTTCAGTATAATTTATGGAATAATTATTTTCTTTATTGATTTTTGATGTTTCTTTTATCATTTCTCAAATTTTTATAAGCAATAGGGTTTGGTTATAAGGCATTTCATGATCTGTGTTATTGCTCTCTGTCAGTACTAACATATTTAATTAATGCAAATTTATATGTTATAATATCTCCTGTTTTTTCCTTATTATTCCTTGTTTAACAGCAAAAAGTTATTTCAGTTTATTATTTTAATTAAACTTGAGAATCATTTTGTTCAGTTTCTTCCAAAATCTAATTATGATTTTATAGGCAAAAAAATTAATTTGGGAAGACAAATTTCTTTAAAATACTCAGTTTTTCTTCCGGGAATATTATATGTTTCTCCATTTACCCAAATGCTCTGCATCTCTTATCAAAGTTTTGTGGTTTTCATTTGTTTATTTGGCTTAACACAGAACAGCCTATTTCTTGCAAGAGTTATTTTTACTTATTTGATGTGCTTGGTTTATTCTTTCTAGAGGTGAGTGGGGGTCTTCTTTTTTTCCTCTACTCTTCCCTAAATGGTTAGCTTTTATTCTGTCAAGTTTTCATTTTGTATAATCATTTTGTATTCAACAGTGTACATATTTGAAATATCATTCTAAATGATTCTCATTCCATTTTCCTTGTTTCTTTCTCATCCCTCCCTCCCTCCTCCCCAATCCCTAGAGATAACCCTTTCTTGTGCAAAAACCGTATCTTTCCTTACTTTCAATAGTTATACCGCTTTTGTATTTTTCATGTTTTTACATGTTAAATAATGTTATGCTAAATCATATCATATCTTCAACTATTTAACTGTTAAACAAAATTTTTTTCTGAGAGGTTGTTTTTATTGTGTTAATAAAATATTCTTGTCCTAGTTTTTAATGATTAACCAATAATCAAGGATGAATGTTGACTTTTATCAAATACCATTTCTTTTAAATTTATCTTGTTGAAAACAATTTTACCCATTGTGGATGTGTATTATATTCATAGATTTCCTATTATACTATGATCTTTGTATTTCTGGCATCATGATGTTAATAACCCATATTTATTTAATGCTTACTATGAACCATGAACTGCAATGAGTACTTTCCATTTTATTACCTTGTTTAATCCTGTCAAAATCCCTGAGAGGCAGGTCCTATGAGGAATTGCTCTTTATAGACGAGGTATCTGAAGCACACAAGTGAAGTGCTCTACTTGAATCACATCCTGCAGGTAGGAGGGCAGTCTGGATTTCAGGACTCGGCTCTTTGGCTCTCACTATGGTGCTTCTCAGATCCACTGTGGTGAAGTGTTCTTTCAATGCATTGCTCAATCTGAGTCACTCATCTTTTCATTAGGATTTTTATAACTTTATTAATAATGGAAATGTAACTGTAGTTTTCCATTTTGGAGCTATTTTTCTAAGTTTTTGAATCAGTTATGCATATGAAAATAAGAAGTTTAATTTTAAGGTAATACCCTTTAAAAAAAACTGAAAGACTATATACAACACTAATTATCTCTTCTTTTTTAAGAACTCCCTGATAAATTGTCTGGCCTGAAGACATTCTTGGAAATAATTCTTTGATATATTTTTTAGCTTCCTCATTCACTGACATATTCAAAATTTCAACTTCTTGAGTAAATTTTGGTAATTTTGCTTTTCCAATTTATGTTTTTCATTTATATCATTGAAATTTTCAAATTCATTACCATGCAGTAGAATATGATAGTGTCATATTGATATTATTTGTTCTAGCTCCTTCCTTATATTAATATTGTTTATGTAGTTTCTTTTCCTTGATTTAACTTGGTAGATGTCTATTTTACTGATACATTATTTCTGTATATTTTATTGACTAAATTATTGCTAACCCTCTGCTTTTCTCTTGTTGTTTTTAAGATTCCCTCTTTCTTTAACCTTTGGCATTTTAATTAAGATGTGCCTTGATGTGGTCCTCTTTGTGTCCAACTTGTTTGGGACTCTCGGTGCTTCCTGGACTTTTATGCCTATTTCCATCACCAAATTAGGGAAATTTTCTTTAATTATTTTTTCAAATAAGTTTTCAGTTTCTTGCTCTTTCTCTTCTGCTTTGAGCATCCCTGTGATTCAAATGTTGGTTTGTTTGAAGTTGTCCCAGAGTATCCTTAGCCTATCCTTATTTTTTGGATTCTTTTCTCTTCTTGCTGTTCTGATTCCAAATTTTTTCTTCCTTATGTTCTAAATCATTGATTTGCTTCTCAGCTTCATCCACTCCACTGTTGATTCCCTATAAATTTTTCTTTATTTCACTTAGTGTACCTTCATTACTGCCTGGTCTTTTTTATGCTGTTTTAGTACCCAATGAGTTCCTAGAGCATCCTAATAACCAGTGTTTTGAAGTCTACATCTGCTGGATTGATTATCTCCATTTTGTTTAGTTCTTTTTCTGGAGTTTTGTTCTGTTCTTTCCTTTGGGCCATATTTCTTTGTTTCCTCATTTTGGCAGCCTCCCTGTGTCTGTTTCTATGTATTAGGTCGAGCTGCTTTGACTCCCTGTCTTGGTAGCATGGCTTATTGTGGAAAAGCACACTGATAAGTTTGATGGGGTGTAGCCTTAGGTAATGACCAGGACGAGGCAACCCATGTGAACCAGGTTGATGGAGTCTCTGACAGGGTCCAGCTCTGTGGCTCTGTGTGTGGGAGGGCTCAGAAAGGGGGCAGTGCTGCTGCTTGGCCTTTGGAGTTTTGTCTGTGAGGAAGGTGTCCACATCACTCATCCTGATGCCAGATACTTCATTTTCTCCCTACATGCCACTGGGGTCCTTCCAGCTGCCGCCCTGGTGCAGGAACCCAGAGGTAGTGAGTCTGTGTAGGTCCTAAGTCCATGTGGGCCCTTTAAGAGGAGACTCCTGAGAATCCATGGTTTCTTCCGCCTCCCCAACCCACACTGGTTTTTACAGACAAAAGTTATGGGGACTTATCTTCCTGGTGCTGGAATCCTGGGCTGGGTGGTCTGGTGTGGGGCTGGGATCCCTTGCTCCCGAGGTATCCCTTCTGATTTTCATCCACCACTTGTGGATATAGGACCACCTGTTCTGCATCTCTGTGTCTCCGCTCTTCTCCGTGTCTCTGCTCTTCTCTGTGACTCTGCCCTTCCTACCCATCTGGATGAATGTTTTTCTTTAATTCCTTGGTTGTCAGGCTTTCCAACAGCTTGATTTTCTGATGATTCTGGGTGATAGTTGTTTTACAGTTTAGTTGTAATTTTTGCTCTAGTTGTGCAAGGAGGAGAGCGGTGTTTACCTGCACCTCTGTCTTGACTGGAAGTCCTAAAGTAAAATGCGCCTCTGCTCAGGGGTCTGGGGGAGAGCAGAAGCAACCACTGCACTTCAGCAGAGTAGGGCTATCATTTCTTTTCCTTAATAAAATTATGTGCATCTATGAACTTGGTCTGAAGGTTTTGATATGCAATGATATTTATTATTTTTTCCAAAATAATTTTTTTTTACAAAAACACTATACATAAGCTACCTGGCTATTCACTGTTATCTGTTACACTTTGTTACCAATATTTTCACTTCATTTTTTCTCTATTACTAAAAAAGCATAAATTAATAATAATCTGAGAGTGGAAGAAAATAGAATCTGCTAAGCTATTTTTTTTTTTTGTACTATAGTAGCTAGCAATCAGAATTAATTGGTTTCTTCAAGCTATGGAGTCTTATGGCCTATGTACTCAGACTTTTATAGCTTTTCAAAGCTGGAAAAGAACTTAGACCTATCCAGCCCAAGACAAATCCAGGGTTGTTAATAACCTTCTCCCAGTTGGTTTACAAAAATAATTGATACCACACAGTTTCTAGAGCCAGGGCAAGTCTTTTGAATTGACTTAATA